ATGTCATGCGGTCATACCAAGCCATTTTTTCTTTAATAGGCGCGGCTAGCCATGTTTTAAAGTCCGAGTTGATTTAAAAAGTCAAATTAAAATGATTTTTAAGTAAAAAAAAAGTAGGAGAAAATCTACTTTTAATTTGTCACTTATTTAGAGTTGTTTTAAGTCATTTTTTGACCTTATCAAACACTTTCTAATTTATATTTTTGGCTTATTTTAAATTGTCTTATTATTGCCAAACAGTTTCAGAATTAAAAAAATCTAACTTAAAATAAAATTGACCAACTTTGAAATCAATCTAAACATCTTCTATTAATTGTTGTAATTTCTATAAAAAAAAATACTACTATTATCATGAAGCATAAAATTTTTCAATTTTAATTTTGTCATAATAATTTTAAAAGTTCTATTTCTGGAATTCTCAATGTGCTGGCATTGATAGGTTTTTAATTATAAAATCTAAAAAGTGACTATTTTTTAATTTTATTCTTTGAAGCATTTTGTTAAACACAACTTTCCCATGATAGTGATGCTTAATTCTTTTCATACGAATGCTCCATAGATATAGTTCCTGCCTCTCCTGACACAACCGAACTCCTTAACTCATACAATATTAAATTGCTCTCAATAATTAATCATATGATAAACTCACACAGTTAGGACATCATTATTGTTAATTTGTCATTTAATAACGATTAATAAAAAAAGGCGAAATCAGAATTAAGAATAAGAATTTGAAGTTTTAAATTTCTTTAATAACCATCAATCAAATCTATTAGAGGTTTTATAAATTAATATATATATATATATATATATATATATATATATATATATATTTAATTCTAATTTAAATCTAAAAGTCTCCTAAAAGCTATTAGATTCGTACAAATCAAAGAAGTTTCACTTAGCTCTGCTTTTATTGATAAAAGTAATAATAACAATACAATAATAATACGTAGTGTGATCCACAAACAAAACAATTATTATAACTTTTCCATCTTACTAGAAACTAGGATTCATGAGAATGAAATAGCATGCTTATAATTAGAATTGATAAATTAATTATCCACCTACAATTCACACGGTCCTCAGTAGTTGTCATTATGAAATTAGTGTAATTATCAACGTTACATGCATACGTTAAAATAGAGAAATAACTAAGCAATGACCATAATGCATCTACACCACATGCTTGTTAATCCTTAGTTTAAGTAATTTATAACAAACTATGAAAGCTCCATATACCAATTCCACTTGTGTTTACCTACTCTCTAGACAACTCTATGGTCCCTTTCCCTTTTATTTTCGTGACCACTTATGTTGTATTACTTAATTATCTAATAAATTTCTTTCTTTAATATTTCATCTTTTTTGTTATTAATATAAGAGAAAATGAGTAGCTTCTAGTTTCATGCAACTTAACTTTCTTTTGGTCCATTGAAAAAGACAAAATAATTTATTTTTAAAAAAGAAAAAACTTTTGGTCCATTGCAAAAGATTAAATAAAATAATTTTTTCTCATTAAAAGTAAAATAAATGATCTAAATAAAATTATTTTGAAATTTTGAAAAGAGTTATTTTTTTCTAAACAAATTAATGAACAAATAAGTTACATGAATTGAAATGAAAGGGAGTAAGAGTCAGTTTGGATTGACTTAAAAAATAGTATTTAAGTTAAAAAAATAAAAAATCAAATTTAAATTAAAAAATAAAACTTTTTTTCAAGTCCTTTTAAGAGTTATTTTTAGCTTTGTTGTACATTTTCAAATGCTAAAAATATTTCTAATTTCTAGTCACTCAGAAAAGAGGGCAAATGATACACTCGTTTGGCTCCTCGCAAAGTATAACTCACATCCAAACATCTGATTGAAAAACGGGGCAATTCAAATAGGCTCTAAGTAATATGGTGTACGCCTTATTTCAAAGGGAATAGCGATGCGGCGTCTGCCTAGCTGGCGATAGCAAATTAATTGTTCGCATCGAATTTTCATTTTCCCAAACAATAAACATCAATTACCATCTGCATATAGATACAAAATTCTCATACTTGGAGAATAATCCATGTTGTTTCACGTCACATATAATTAACCAATTCAAACAATGTTAAAACTTAGTACACCATAAAAATTTCGGTGGGATGATATTTATGATCTCTCCACCCTTATCTATTCCTCGTATTCGAGTCATAGATATATAAATATGATGTTAAAAGAGTAATTTCTCCTTTACATGAGCTATTGTGAATATCAAATCTCTAATGGAAAAATAGAAGAAAGAAGATTAACAAATAGACAAGAGTTAAGACATGTATTAGGTGTCAATTACCAGTGGCTCTTCATGTTTAATTCCAAATTTGGTAAAAATGTTCTGGTCCTTGTGAACCAATAATCGATATCACATACCTGATTAACATCATAATTGTCACTTATAACAATTATATAATTGACTATGACTTGTCAACTATAAATTATATACTCCCTATTAGGGACATTTCCAGTGAAATTTATCCCTTAAAAGGGTCTAATACATATGTCTCCTGACCAAAAGGGTAAGGAATTCAAAATACAAAAAAAAAAGAAATCTTGCCAGGCTATCAACAACCTGATTTTCTTCTCTAGTGATAAAATTAAGAATTTGGTTAAGGTGTTCAACATTTAATATAATATATATATAGAGAGAGAGAGTATATTAGTACATCTATTAAAGGTTTACATTTTTAATTTGACCTGATACATGGTAATTATTTATGTATCAGACCTTTCCTCACGATAGATGTGTTCATTAGGTATCGAAACCTTCTGCATAGATCGGCGATAACGATGATAGAAAAGGAGATATATATATATAAATAATTGGATATACAAGTCAGATAAGACAAACAAAATATCTCTAATTTAGTTATCTTTTGCTTAGATCAACATCGACAATGATAGAAAAGGAGATGTAGATATAGAAGTCAGATGCAACGAACAATAGACATCTGACTTAGCTACCGTCTGCTTAGATCGGTGACAACAATAATAAAAAAGGAGATATAGAAATCAAGTGCAACCACAAACTTTCCCATGAAGGGTGATATTATCGCGTGGTTTATAATATATACAACCAATTTTGTTTCAGAATTTTTACTCAAAGAAATTCAAAATAAAATAAAAGATATTAAAACTAATGCAGTCCTTGAGATTTGAAAATCAAACGTTGGAATGAATTTTGAATGCCCTAGAGCCTAGACCACAAAGTTAAACATTTTGCAAGTTGTTTAGAATATTCAAAATTTATATATATACACATAATTCATAAACATATAAAAGATTGGCTTTGTAAAAAAATTTGTCTGGGATTGGGTGAACACCCTCCGCCAATAATATGAAATAATCTGAGATCTAATGCAAAACCTTGAAAACGGAACTGAAATCTTGGACATAGACTGTGATGCTTCAAAACTTTTTACAACTGAACTAAACAATGGAAAATTATGTAAAATAATAAATATCTAGAATATATTATGTAATATAGCTATAATTTTGATTATTTTTAATTCGTGACTATAGTTTCACAACATTTTGCTAGTCAATTTCCTAATTATATAAATCCATAACTCGGTCCCCTATAAATCTCAAATTTCTACAATTAGGGTTCCTGATCGTATAAATAGAGAATTTATATATGTTTACCCTAGCTATATTTATATACGATTTACAAAAATTCATAATAAATTACTTTGTTTGCATATTGACAAGTGAAATATATACAAATGGAGTTCTGAAAAATTACTAAATATATAAATTACAAAAATTTTGTATATACTTATGTTGTTTGTGTATTCGCAAACACAATATACAAATCACAACCTCTATTTGTATATATACTTATCATGTTTATATATTTGCAAGCAAAATATACAAATGAATAGACGAAATATACCCTAAAACGACACTATATAATTATGGAGCGGAATATTAAAACTTTTGTTACATGAAGCTCTATTATATCTATTATGTTTGTTATTTTTAAAATTTTCTCAAAAGGTGACTAGTCAAATATAATAACTCCTATTATTAATAAGTTTAATTATAGGAGTTATTATAGGAGTTAATTTGTGTAGGATTTGATATATATACTTAATACTAAAAGACAATTGTCAAGCAAACAGAGAATGATGTATACGTAAATTGAACCCATCTCATTTACTTCTAAGCCCCACTATGATGCAGATGCTTATATACAATTATACAGACGTATCTTAGTTGCACAGCCCTACTTAGCTTGACTAAACATACGTAAAATCACAATATGAATAGTCCACATCCATATGTTACTTCTTTGGAAGGCCGTTTCAATACTTAGTTTAATCCCAAGGGAGTAACATTTATGTCTTTCTTTATCAAATTAAATTTTAAAAACATTGTTGCACAACATTGGACAAACATAACAATCAGCAATGACTATAATGACCGCAGGAAAATATTAATACCTTTTCCTGTTTCGGTATAGTTAGAATTCAAGAGTCCAATAATTTAATTTTAATCGTAAATTTATGCATAATATATCTTTAAAAAGTTAGAAATAAAATTTATATATTGAAAAACTATGTCAAACCACAGTAATTGACAATTCAAAATAGTTAACAGATATACGAAAGAACTAAGTTAAAGAAAGATTTATTTGAATTTAGAAATCCAAATAATATCATATAAATGGAGACAAAGAGAGTAATACATTAGATATTGTTGTAGGAAAAATATCAAATTTTTAACCAAATTAAGTCATTATATAAAATAATTTACCAAAGTAATACATTTTTCTAAAATTTTACAAAACTAGTATAAACGTATTTCATGGTAACGTTTTAGGGTATATTTTATTTTTTAAAAACTAACAGCATTAGGTTGATATACGTCACTGTAAATAACGTTTTACTTTTAAAACGTTAAGTAATATTTTAGGAGTAAAACGTTAGTGTGAGTAACGTATATCAATCTGACGCCATCAACTTTTAAAAAATAAAATATATGCTAAAACGTTACTGTGGAATTCGTTTATACTAGTTTTATAAAATTTTAGAAAAATATATTATTTTGGTGAATGACTTTATATAATGACTTAGTTTGGTTAAAACCTCAAAAATATCTGAGGGCTGAATTTTTTTACTTGTAATAATAAAAGACCAACAATTTTACCTAATAAGTTTAACGGTAGCATGATTAGTTAATTCCTGTTGAGGAGTTCCTCAATCATTTGAAGCGCCATTCGTTCTTCTTCATTCATCACACCACATTCTTTGCCTTGTTCAATCTCGATCGAATTATCCTGAGACAAAAACGTACTCGAAGAAGTTACGTTTTCGTCCGGAATAATTATATGCTCGTTATCATTAATCATCTTCTTTTTTCCAAATTCAACCGTCATGACCCAGCTAGAATCAGGCCGGGCTCCGGCCCGTTTCTGCCAAACCCCAATGTTGGAACTCTCTGTATCAAGCCTGAGACAAGTGAGAGACGGCGATGGCGATTTACAGCTCTTCCGAAGTTTGGCGCTAAGTATAGCAGAGAGTGATGATGATGATCCTGATAATGTCGAATTATTAGATTTATAATTGTCTTTTTTATTTTCATCCATTGCTTGCACTGCGAAATTTGTTTTGGCGTTACGTCCGCTCATTAAAACAGCAGCCTCATCATACGCTCGGGCAGCTTCTTCTGCAGTTTCAAACGTACCTAGCCACACTCTCCTCTTCCTACCAGCAAAAAAATTAAAAATAATCAAATATATTTGATTAATGATCGATTAATATATAGATCGATATATGAAATTAAAAGTGTGCATAAATAAATGGGGTGTGCATGGTAAAAGTACAGTAAAGGATGACGAATTTCAGCGACCCAAGAACCCCAATGGCGTTGCCTGACACCTCTGAACTTCTTTGCCTGTACCATACTTGAATGTGGGCAAGCAATTGTCAGATAGGGACAAGAGCAGCGAGCGAGACAGAGAGAATTTGTACTATTGAAGGTATTAGAATTGGTTTATAAAAGAAGGATACATATAAGCATCGATTACAATTTACAAGGACAGTGGTATTACTGGGATATTATTATTATATATACTATTTAAGTAGGTAATAAAGTTTAGTAAAAAGTGTTAGTGTTATAGATTAGCTAGAAATATAATGAGGAGGTAGCATTGAAGAAAAAGAAGATGAGTGGTTGGTAAGAATATTATTAGTGATTAATTTGTAGTAGTTCAATTACTACTGAAAGTCCAGTAGGCTACCACTATAGACAAGTCCACACTAGTCATGCAGTAATACCTCATCTTTTAATTCTCTTTTTATAGTACCATAATATGAGGGGTTCCCTTTTGGATCGGCTGCATGTGATGAGTAGACTACTTTTGATGGTGATTGGCTGATGCCTTGAATGAAATTAAGGGATAGCCCTATTATTCTACGATGGATGGAGACTTGGAGCTACGATTTCAAACTTATAAATTTCAATTTCTAGTTAGGGTTTGATTATGATTTTTATATCGATTTTTTAATTATAATTTTCATATTGATTTTTTAAAGTATGATAAATCGATGGTTTCTCTAATATGATTTAGATAATTCCTGATTCATAAGCTGACTTTTGAAACCATTAAATTATGTACATGATCCATTTCTTTATAGTTACTATGTTAAATGTTAGTAATTGAGTTTTATATATTTAGTAAATTATTTATACAATTTTAAGTTTTCCGTTTGGTTAAGTTAAAAGCTATTGGGTTTGAGTTTGATCAAACTCATATATACTCTTCTAGCTTCGTTCTTGGTCCACGCTAAAAAGATGATTTTATCAAGCACGTCCCACCTACGAATATATTTAAATGGTACTTTTTTCATTTCAATATAAATGAATTTCTAGCATATTTTTTGTGGTTCAAGATTAATTATTCTTCAAACCCTAAAATTATATTATTATTATTATTATCAAAATTACCCTATTAATGTAGTTTTCAACTATTTTATATTTTTATGAGTATTCTCAATATATTATATATGAATTGCACAATTACAAGAATAATTGACAAATTATTGTTTAAGTAATATCAATAACCCAAAAATGCATTTATTTTGAATTTGAGGGAGTATGGATTGTATATCTTTAGAAGTAAAAAAGGAATAATGCATAAGTACCCCTTCAATCTATGCCCAAAATCTCAGAGACATACTTATATTATAACGAGATCTTATTACCTCCTGAACTTATTTTATTATTAATGTTCTACCCTTTTTCGGCCTACGTAGCACTATTTTGTGAGCTCAATGCTGATTGACTTTTTTTTCAAACTAGTTCCACGTAGGCGGAAAAGGGCTAGAAAATTACTTATAAAATAAGTTCAGGGGTAATAGGACCTTAATATAGTATAAGTGTGTCTCTGAAATTTCGGGTATAGGTCAGAGAGGTACTTGTGCATTTTCCCGGTAAAAAAAGATAAATATGATTTGTATGACTAATTGTTCTAGAAAAGCAGGATTAATAAATTAAAATACAATAACAATACGAAGAAATATATATATATATATATATATATATACACACACACCACTTGAGTAATTATTTGTACTAGC